AAGAATGGGTGAATATGCCCGAGGCAGACCTCCTTTTTGCAGAAGTCGAAGACTATTGTATCCACCGGGCCAAGCGTGAAGGGGTAAGTATAAACACTCAAGTACCTATCCACATGTAAGGTGATGTCCTCATCAGGGGCAGGGATGACCACTTCCTTGCCCTCCCACGTGCATTCCTCCCGAACCGTCGAGAGCGTGTCCACGGTGATGGAGCATATGTTCCTCCACACCTCCTCACATGGATCCCCTTGCTTGGAGGCTTTTTCGACCATAAATTTGTTGTCTATAGAGCACCATCTAGGGATAAAATTCTTTAGCGGAGGTTTCAGGGCCGCTTCAGGTAGGACCATCTCGACATTTGCAGTCGGGTTAGAAGTTGAAGGGGTGGTCTTTTCGGGCACAAATTTTGAAGTTTTCTCCATCGAATTCTGGGAAAATGAATGTTTAAAGGCAGGTATGATGGTTTGAAGATGAGAATGAAGGTTTGAAGGTCAAACTTGAAGATTCAAAGGACAAAATATAAAGATTTGAAGATAGGAAGATGAAGATATGAAGATGTGAAGAACAGTGCATGAAGATTTGAAGGAATTATGAGCAAGTAAAAAGTTCGGGGGTAACTTAAGAAGGTTTGGAATCGGCAAGTAAAAAAGTGAAAAAAGAATCCAAGCTTTTATAGGAGGGAGGTAATTAATGCATGATGTTTTGCATTCGAGGACAGTCAATCGGTGGCTGACACGTGTCTGAAGTCAGAACGACATGATTGATGGGACGTTTCACTGACTCGTCGACCCGACTGCAGCGTACAAAGGAAGGAACCGGGGTCGATTAATCACTTCTCGTCGCTTCGATAAATCTGCTCTTCAAAAAGTGAGGGTACTATCTATGTACGGGTAAAATCGAGGATAGTGTTACCCCCGATTTCCCGGTAAAAAATGAGAGGGAAGCATGATCTGACACAACCTCGAGTAAAGTCGAAGGGTTCCTCGTTTCGATGTCCGGGGAGGACGAACGGTGCATCCGGGATTGGACACGGCTGAACACCGGGTCCGGGCATAGTGAAGGTTCGAGACTAAGAAAAAAGAGAACCGGTTAAACATGATAAGTGGGGAGCCGTAATATCCGCCCTCAACCAGATATTACGGTGCAAATTCTGCCCGATATCATCTGCAGATCGACATTTACTTGGAAAAGAAGATTTTTACCTTATTTAGACTAGTACTAGGATTGAAACTCTCCTACTATATAAAGGGGAGAACTTTTTCATTTTAAGACCACTGTTGGCACACATATCAAAGCAATAAAAGTTTATTTTCATTTTCTAGCTGCTGTTCATTGTGTTCTTCAGCTGCTTAATTATTCGGTTACAACTGAGCCGGTCTTGAGGGCTCGACCGAGGTCAATTTTCAGTGTTTATCTAAAAGGCGAGGCTTGATTGTTCATCACGTTAATTCGGTTATTTTGCTTATCTATACTTAAATTAATTTATGTCCATAGATTATTCGTGTTAAATTAAATCACGTATCCTTTTATCGTATACACATTTAATTATTACTCATTTTAAGGGTAAACAGTGACAATAGAGATACTAGAGTTATTAGTTGGGTGGAAAGTGAGATACTTTTTTAAAAAAATAAATCAATTGACGAGAGAAAGGAAAGGGTAGGAAAGAGTCTAGTACAGTGAGAATGAAATACTTACCTACTGTATAGCCTTTCATTTATACTACTAAATTATACTCCCTTCGTTTTAATTTAGATGAGGTAATTTGACTCGGCACGGAGTTTAAAAAAAAAAAGACTTTTGAAACTTGTGATCTTAAAAGTTTAAGGGGTAAAAGTTTTATGGGGCATGACATTTATGTGGTTATAAAAGCTTATAATTAAGGGTAAAATGAGTGAAATGAAAAGTTTAAAGTTGAATTATTTCCAAATATAAAAATGTGTAATTTATTTTGGAACAGACTAAAAAAGAAAGTATCTCATCTAATGTGAAACGGAGGGAGTAGGTTTTTATGGTTGGAAAGTGAAATACGAATTTCGGGGTTTCTTGCGTAAGTATACACTTGATGATTTTTTCTTCTTTTCATTTTTTTCCCATCCCACTTAAAATTACGTGCTAGAGAATATAAATTAAGGGAAACGCCGAATAGACAAATAGATTTATATTGTAACAGCAATTTCTGTTAGAGTTTCGTGTGTTTATATTATGACATCATCTCTCCAATTTATTGTCTCCCATCATAACTTGGAACTCTGACTGTATGTATATTATTCTATTGCTATGCATCTTATATAGGAAAATTAAAGAAAATAATGGCAAACTGATCGGTTAACTATGCATGCAGGCTGGGACGTAAGATTACTAGGATTGTTAAAGACGGCAGGATTCCTCCATTCTTAATCAGAAGTTTTATATGCGAGCTTTGGAAATATAATAAAATTTTGGTAAGGAGGCCTCAAAGGCAGATCGATGATTTAAAGTTTATGCCTGAGTTGCTACAACGACTTCAAATTAATGTATATCAATTATTGAGTTCACAATCAAATATTTATAGATATTTAGTGAATTTTTAATATATACTGTGGCAAAATCTATTGGGTTCATGTGAATCAATATATTATATTCTAGATTCGGCTCTGGCAGTGCTTCCTCTTTTAATGGGCCTTACACGACGCAGATTTATATTAATTGAGGCTTCAATGCAAATTATCGGACTCAGGGTGGAATCTTTTTTTAAAAGGTTGAGACTTAATTAAAACCAAAAGTAGTCATCCGTGTCCACTAACTACCGTTTTATTAATTACTTCTATTAATTATTCAAGGAATTTCATGGCAAATGGTAACACACGTCCTCCATTAAAATTCCTTAGTTGGTTTATTGTGAAAATGATAGATTTGTCATTTTCTTCTTGTAAATACAAGTATAAATTTTCTAATTATTGGACCGGAGAGCTGGGCATATTTATTCTATTAAAATTAAACAGTAAAGAGGCTAGACAATAGCAGCGTTTTAAAAGGCAATTCTGGGAGTCGCCCTTGGGCGGGGCACTTGCAAAACGCTCTGGAGCTTATGTATGGGGCTTAGTTCTGTGAGGCTTACGCCCCAAGCGCCCGACCGTGCGCCATAAACACGCCTAACGCCCAACGCTCGGGGCTCGCCTAACAGTTCTAACGCAAATCACATGTCGAATTTCCTAATTAATATCGTTGACCTTCAAAATTCTTTAACAAATTAATGATAAAAGTTCTATTCATCGATAGAAATATGAAGATTGAGCATAACTCTAATAATGAGACATAGTATTGCGAATTTATATCTTCACTTGTTATTGGTCGTGTCTTAATTCATTTGTCCCTCTTTGTTATACACTTTTATTTTGATATCATAAACTAATTTGTATTTATTCATGAAGGAGTAATATTTTAATTATCGTACTAATAAGATNTGTCCCTCCTTGTTATACACTTTTATTAATTTGATATCTTAAACTAATTTGTATTTATTCATGAAGGAGTAATATTTTAATTATCGTACTAATAAGATTTTATTAATTATTTACTTTTAGGAAGGTAAAATGTAGAGTTTGATTATTTTTTTAAAGAAATTATAAGTTTTTAATTATTTGAAAGTTAAAGACGTTATACGTGATTTGTATGCATTAGTTATACTTAAGAATCATGCTAGATATTCTTTTTCTATGAGTTCCTTTAATTTTTAAANTGTATTTATTCATGAAGGAGTAATATTTTAATTATCGTACTAATAAGATTTTATTAATTATTTAGTTTTAGGAAGGTAAAATGTGAAGTTTGATCATTTTTTTTAAAAGAAATTATAAGTTTTCAATTATTTGAAAGTTAAAGACGTTATACGTAATTTGTATGCATTAGTTATACTAAAGAATCATGCTAGATATTCGTTTTCTATGAGTTCCTTTAATTTTTAACTTTTAATTTATATTTTTTATTTTTTTGTGTTATTATATTATTTTATTAATTTATAAATTAAAAATTTTAAAGATCCATGGGGCTTAC